ATCAGAATGTAATTTCATCAGAGTGTAGCTGTAACATAACAAAACTGGAATTAGTGTATAAAAATGTATCCGTAATGTTACAAGATCAGAATGTAATTTCATCAGAGTGTAGCTGTAACATAACAAAACTGGAATAATTGTATAAAATGTATCCGTAATGTTACTATATCAGAATTTAATTTCATCAGAGTGTAGCTGTAACATAACAAAACTGGAATAATTGTATAAAATGTATCCGTAATGTTACTAGATCAGAATTTAATTTCATCAGAGTGTAGCTGTAACATAACAAAACTGGAATAATTGTATAAAAATGTATCCGTAACGTCACTCCACCATAATGTAAATATCTTTAACAAAACTCCATTTGAAATTCGCTTTAAAATTAATTCTACTAAAGTTTCTGTAAAGAATATAAGTAAAATCGTGAACCTGTGAATCTTAAAATTCTAGAGAAATTTAACAGTTCTGTCCACATTCCATTAAGCTCTGTCTTTTGATAACAATTTGACATATTAAACATATTTTTTCACCTTTACCTTGTTATACTTATTGTCAACATATGCGAATTAAAAAGAATGAAAAACCAACTGGGTAAGTTTGAAGGTTATTGAATTATAGACCAAAACACGATTGAATTTAAAAAGAAGAAACCGAACGCATATCTCGCCCTGTTACAGGCTGATTTAACGTAATTCCATCAGAGTTGGAAACTTAAGAATTGCTAGATCTCCTCTTTTTATTAATCTAAAGATTAATTTAATCTCTAGTTCGTATTCAGGAAAGTGTATAAAATTCAACCAATCAGAGTGGTGTGTGCAGAATCCCGAACAGCAAATCAGAAGCTAGGAAATTATAAATTTTGCGCGCCATTTAATGATTGATCAAAATCTGGAATGGATATCCCAAATGAGGGGTAAAGAGCGGATTAAACAGAACTTAAAAGTGTCCACAGTGGATATTTAGATTAAACAATCGCTTTAAAGATCCTTGAGCATAAAACCACTGTGGAAGAAAGTATAAAGACGACTCTGAATTATCTGTTCAAACTACTTTCGGAGGAAGTTTTCAGGTTCTAGGTCAAGATAGAAAACAAAACAGGAGACAAAATAAAACATTGATAAAGTGTTTGTTGACTTTTTCCATCGAGAAATATTGGAATTTTAGGAAGAATTCTTTAAGATCAAATACTTTGTTTTGGAAAAATATTTGTTTTGGAAAAAGTTTTGCTTTGAAAAAAATTGTGAAGCACGGGGGCATTGTCATTGGAAAAGTAGGGACGATGTCACCCATTCCCAAATTAACCTTCTTGACAAGATGACAATCCTCTGCATCTAACCTAGTTTATCCCCATCCCCCCTCCACCCCTCCAAACCACCGAAACATATCACTNCATATAACAATTATTATGCTTCAGGCAAAAAATGTGTAACAACTGTTTACAAATATATATGAACGTACTATAGCAAATAGGTGGAGATTAGCTTACACTGTTTTGGGTATTTTCCCGACCAATCAATTAAAAAACGTTTACAGGATGTTGAATATTACTGTAGGACTTTCAATTTTACAATAAGTTGAATATTACTCTAGTTTACTCTATCATATCCGAGCCGGGGCGACTGGCGATGGCGTAGATAGAAATTTGTCCCGGCGAGTTTTTTGACATTCTGTTGGGGTTGAATCCCCCCTGAAAATCATATTATTTACTTCTCAAGGTGGGGGCTTTGTCTCATGCCCCCCTCCTCTATACACCTCTGTCCATATAAAGGGCTTTCCTCCTTCCCCCCTCCCCCCCCAACTCCATTTACCCGCCCTCCTCCACATGGCTTTCCGAAAACCGGTTTTCTCTACCTCCTTCTGTAAATTCCCCCCATTTACCCCATTAGCTTTCTAATTCCTGCAGTATGCAAGTATAGGGTAGTACACAGCTTGGGGGTCAGTCTGCGCATGTATTACATTCATCACATGTCTATTAATACTGAACATGCTATAAATCAAAAAACAGTTAAAGTTACAATATTTACCTTTGATAAATTATACATGAATGAACTAATAATTACAAATTTATTTCATCTTTAATAGGGTTTAAGTGAGAGTGTTAAACCTTGTTTACATTGGTAAATTAACACAGCATATGTTTAGAATTTATGAACTTATATACTTTACATAGATACATACAAAGGCTTTAATATGAGGACAATTGAAAGGAAACAAGAAACACTGATTTTCCAATCCCTTTATCTTTGCAACCAGATAGTATAAACCTTTGATAATTCACCCCATCCGAGTCTTAAAGTTGCAGGATCCGTGCCGGTAAAAAAAAGTATTGTATATGGATTCAGTCGTACTTTCCAGTCAGGCTACACAGTGTAGAGTAGACCCAGCAAGTTTTATTTAACATAAAGGAATAGAAAAACAAAAAATATCTTCTTCATCAAGATAAAATAATAAAATGTACCAGTAGTCAGAATCCTTCCTAGTGATTCTTAAATTACGCGAACGATATATATTGGGAGAAAGTAAATTTCAAACAATTCAGTATCATTCTCATCTTTGTATTTAGTTCACAAACTTTCAAATTTTTCGTTAAAAATCATTTACATTTAAGGATGGTAGATCAATAAGACCTGGATTAGGGTTTCCTGGTAGATCAATAAGACCTGGATTAGGGTTTCCTGGTAGATCAATAAGACCTGGATTAGGGTTTCCTGGTAGATCAATAAGACCTGGATTAGGGTTTCCTGGTAGATCAATAAGACCAGGATTAGGGTTTCCTGGTAGATCAATAAGACCTGCATTAGGGTTTCCTGGTAGATCAATTAGACCAGGATTAGAATTTCCTGGTAGATCAATAAGACCTGGATTAGGGTTTCCTGGTAGATCAATTAGACCAGGATTAGGGTTTCCTAGTAGATCAATTAGACCAGGATTAGGGTTTCCTGGAAGATCAATTAGACCAGGATTGGGGTTTCCTAGTAGATCAATTAGACCAGGATTAGGGATTCCTGGTAGATCAATTAGACCAGGATTAGGGTTTCCTGGTAGATCAAGAAGACCTGGATTAGGGTTTCCTGGTAGATCAATTAGACCAGGATTAGGGTTTCCTGGTAGATCAATTAGACCAGGATTAGGGTTTCCTAGTAGATCAATTAGACCAGGATTAGGGTTTCCTGGTAGATCAATTAGACCAGGATTAGGGTTTCCTGGTAGATCAATTAGACCAGGATTAGGGTTTCCTGGTAGATCAATTAAAGTAGGATATGGTTTCCTGATATATCAATTAGAGTAGGAAAGGGGTTTCCTGAAATATCAATTAGAGTAGGAAAGTGGTTTCCTGGTAGATCAATTAGAGTACGATAGGGGTTTCTTGGTAGATCAATTAGAGTAGGATAGGGGTTCCTGGTAGATCAATTATAGAGCAAGAAAGTAATTTGAAGATCAATTGTCCAGACTTTATTTTTCACAAGCACTCCCTTCAAACCATACATTAACCATACATAAACCATACATAGACCATACATAAACCATACATAAACCAGTTTCTGAAAAAAACATTATTTCGGAAAAAATATTATTTCAGAAAAATTTTATTTAGAATGTCTGACGGGGAGACAGAGAAGGATGAAACCTTTAATCTTCGCTCCTACATTCAGGAACCTTATCTTCAAACCATCAAATTAGAGTGGTCGGCGTTTATATCAATACACTGAATTGACGACTCTGTATAAGTTTTGATTTCTACCAAGCTTGTTTTCAAATTACAAGTTTACATGTAAACAAAGAGAAGTTGTTAATTGGTAGCCTCTCTTTGTTCCCATGTTTGTTTGTATCCATGCCGTTTTAAAGCTTATTAAAAATCAAATAATTAAATCGAAAGTCGTCTTCATTGTTTTGATATATACGACAACGACTGTATTGCACCATCAATATTAACCACTAATCTTCAGTGAGATTTATGAAACTGAGGAATAGGAAGACGACATTTAAGTAATTTTATGTGTATTTGATATTTTTTCAATTCGAACAGGTTCACCAGAAGCTTGAGTAGTTAAGTAGTTAGTAAATTAAGTGGGTCCGTTTTTAACAGTGCACAACTTCTCTGTATCAGAATTAACTATCAAAACAACTTTCACATCGAACTTTAAAGCTATTGAGTAAATCTAACTTACAAACAAACAGATCTGTCTTTCAAACTATCAAATCTAACTATCAAACCATCAAAATCAACTTTCAAATAATCAAATTTATTTTTTAAACTTTTAGATCTTAATTCCAAAATAGCAATTCTATCTTATGAACGATCATATCTTATTTTCAAACCTTTGGATACAACTTTTAAAATAAAACTTTAAAGCTCGCTATATATGAATTTCTATTTAACCTTAAAACAGTCAGAAATATCTTTTAAAATATAAAATTTTTAATTTGTGATTAACTGTAGGAATGTATTTTCAAAATGCACACAATAAAAAACACAATAATAATTTCTCTTTTTTTTTGAAAATAAACATATGTTTTCCTGATTTTAGAAGGTTTCCACAACACTGCATACTCAGTTCAACTACCTTACATAGCCGGTCACTCCCTTTAAAGTATTTTAGGCATTCATTTAAAAACCTAATTTTATAATTTTACAATTCTGAATTCTTGAAACAATAATGATAAAATTTTCTCATGCACTGAATTTCTAAAATAAAGTAAACCTTTTTTGTGCTTTAAATATTACCAGAAATATAAAGAGTTTTATCAGAGCTGGGAACTTTTGAATGGTGGATATCGTAATTAATGCTTAATCCACTCTTTTTCTTAATCTCCAGATTAAATATTGCTTGTTCTTTTCTTGTTATTAATCTCCAGAGCCGGCGATTTAAAAAATTCAAGAAAATACGACTCGGGTCTAAGCTGTTGTTGAGCCTTATTTACTTGGTTTATTTGAAGAATTGGTTTGTTTGAAGAATTGGTTTGTTTGAAGAATTGGTTTATTTGAAGAAATGGTTTAGTTGAAGAATTGGTTTGGCTTCAGGAATTGACAAAAGTTTGCCGGCAGGAGTTCCAGGAGACGGATAGTTTAGAGGAGAGGATTAAGATTGTGTGCAGCAAGGAGCTGAGTCTAGCTGTAGGTCAGTTTAACTTTATAGCCAGTGCATGATCGAAACTTGTGAATTAATAAAGGTACAATAAATCTAATTTTTATTGACCCTCCATGCATGCAGCAAAGATGGAAATGGCCGATTTACAACGGTACCCTTCAAAGCATTGTCTGATCAAGTATTAATAAGTTATCCATGTTTCTTTAAACTGTTTATTTTCATTTGCAGTTTCTCTGCGAAAGTGCAGCCTTGCGCACTTCTGGCTTATAACAATAAAGAAATTCACAGAAATAATCACTTTTTTAAGTAAGAAAACGAAGGTATCTTTCAAAATTTTGATCAGATTAAGCTTTCAAATGTAACGTTGTAAATCGGGCACTGCCAGGCACTGCACATCCTTGAATGGAGGGTTAATTTAAATTACGCTTACAGTACCTAATTGATCCCTAGGGTGGTTCTAATTCTTTCTCTTACTTTCCAGCTTGTACGGATCCTTATTTTATTTTAGGAGATTTGATTAATGAAGAAGGAGCCTGGCCAAGGAAGGACGAGGAACTTAGTAAAACCAACAGGTCAGTTTTTAAACACTTTCGGTAAAGTAAAAGTTTGATACTTTGTCGGAATAGATCGGAACTTTTTTGGAATTGGGTCACTACTTTGTCGGAAAAGGTTCAGCACTTTGTCGGAATAAAATTGGTATACTTTGTCATTAACGATTTGATAATTTTTCAGAATATGTTCGGTACTTTGTCAGAATAGATTTGGTACTTTGTTGGAATAGCATCGGTGCTTTGTCAGAATAAGTTCAGTACTTTGTCAGAATAGGTTCAGTACTTTGTCAGAAAAGGTTCAGCACTTTGTCAGAATAGGTTCAGTACTTTGTCAGAATAGGTTCGGTGCTTTGTCAGAAAAGGTTCAGTATTCTGCTGACCTAGATACGTAATTTGTCAGAAAAGGTTCTGTACTCTATCAGAATAGGTTAGGTACTTTGTCAGAATAGGTTCGGTACTTTTTCAGAATATATTCGGTAAAATTTGTCAGAAACGATTTGAAACTTTATCAGAATAAGTTTATGCTTTGTCAGAATAGGTTCAGAACTTTTTTAGAATGGAAATGGTTTGTTTTACGACAAGTTTTGAAACGTTTTAATTCTTATGTAATGTGACTCTAGGTTTAATCAATCCTTGATTATATTGTATGCATATCTATAAGGAAGATGGGAACAGAGCAAATGATGAGAGAAGATACGAGTTATCTATTTATATTTGGTTTAAACAATCCTTGATTATATTGTACCACTATAATTCTATCTTTGGTTTAAACAATCCTTGATTATTTTGTAAAGATATTTATTTTAGCCTTGGTTTAAACAATCTTTTGTTATATTGTAAAGATATTAATAGGAAGGATGAGAACATAGCATATAATACAATATATCTATTTTATCTTTGGTTTAAACAATCCTTGATGAATTGTATTTCTGTACGTAGGGAGGATGGGAACCGAGCATATAATGAAGGAAGATACGAGATGTCGATTCTACTCTACACAGAAGCAATGAAGTAAACAATTTCATTAATTGAAGGGATAGTTCCAAAATTGCATTTAAAGGGACTGTGAGCGTAATTGGAAGTAACACTTCTTGCAAAGATGGCAAAGCACGATTCACACTGGTACCTTTTAAATCGTTATCTGATCCATAATGTGGAAGATATTGTCGTTTTCCTAGGTTTAGAATTACGCGTTTAGTTGCGATAATTCCTGCAAATATGCTATACTGCAGAAGAAACTATAAATATGCTATACTGCAGTAGAAACTATAAATATGCTATACTGCAGTCGAAACTNCAGTAGAAACTAGACATGCGCAAGTCACTTTTGTAAACATCCACAATTGAAAATTATTAGTTTTTAAAATTATAAACATTATATCTAATTCAGCCTTGATCACACAAAGCTTTTAAGAGTACCATTGTGAATCGTGCATTGTCATCTTTGCACGGAGGTTTATTTGAAATTAGCTCACAGTCCCTTTCATGGGACATGGCTTGCAAATTTGAAGGGATTGTAAACACTGGATTTCAAAGTACCAAATTTTAAAAAAACGTTTTACAATTTGCTATTTTAATGGGAAAATGCATAAAGTTAAAACAGAAAAAAATTACTTAAGAGAAACAATTAACAAATTTAAAAAATACAAGAAATTCACATTGCAGAGACAGTACACGAATTGAAAAGACAAAACTTAAAATGAGTGAGCTTCCAAATTTTAGATATGGAAAATACATAATAATTATCTGAAAAATCTAAAAATTGATACTTTTTTTTTCTTTTAAGATATGCCCCTTCCCCATGTAACCCTATTCTACTGTTCAGATATGGCCCCTGTAACCCTATAATACTGTTCAGATATGCCCGCTGTAACCCTATACTACTGTTCAGATATACCCACTGTAACCCTAGTCAACTGTTCAGATATGCCCCCTGTAACCCTAAACTACTGTTCAGATATGCCCCCTGTAACCCTATACTACTGTTCAGATATGCCCCCTGTAACCCTATACTACTGTTCAGATATGCCCACTGTAACCCTATACTACTGTTCAGATATGCCCACTGTAACCCTATACTACTGTTCAGATATGCCCACTGTAACCCTATTCAACGGTTCAGATATGCCCACTGTAACCCTATTCAACGGTTCAGATATGCCCCCTGTAACCCTAGTTAACTGTTCAGATATGCCCACTGTAACCCTATACTACTGTTCAGATATGCCCCCTGTAACCCTAGTCAACTGTTCAGATATGCCCCTTTTAACCCTTTACACAACTGTTCAGATATGCCCCCTGTAACCCTATACTACTGGAGGGGGAGGCACTAGCCTCTGCTGCAGCAAATAGATCAGCTGCATTCTACCAAACCAAACAATATAAAGAGTGCATAGAGGATATAGGTAATTTTAAACATTTTGTCCGGTGACGATCAATTTCGATCCACATCAATCACTAGCGATCAATATCAATCAACATTGATCAATTGCGATCAACATCCATCAATATCGATCAAAACCGACCAATTGCGATAAAAATCTATCAATATCGATCAACAACTATCAATAGCTATTAACATCGATTAATATCGATCAACATCGATCAATATAAATTTTTTTTTTGTATTTAACTCTAAATACGGAAGTATTGAATTATTATAAGTTGGTTCAAGTGACCCTCAATATATATAAAGATAGACATTTCAGATTCACAATTCGGTGCCTTGTCAACCTCTGTCTGAGTAACAATTAAGACAAATTTTTGTCTTAAAATTTTCTGAATTTGAATCGACAATTTCCTTAATTACGCAAGTCACTTTTATCGGAGAAGCTACAATTGAAACTTATCAATTTTAAGTTTTAAAATAAGGATATCTCATTTATCCTTGACCAAACAAAAGTTTAAAAGCCACCAAAGTTGATCGAAGCATATTTTCAATAAGGGTGAAAATGAACATTTGTTTTTCAAATGCCAATGCAACATATGTATCAACATGCATATTTTCTTAGATAAGGGAAATAGTAAAAATTATGAAATTTTAAAAAGATTTTAATTGTCAAGTTTGTTTAGAGGTTGCCGTGTCTGCTGGGTATCCCAATAATGGTCTGTACAAGCTGTACATAAGGAAGTGTAAGTGTGAGCTAGAGCTGGGAAGGTAAAGCATTTCGTTTGTATTACCTTAAACAGTGGTCGGCTTTTTTATCAATACAATGAAGACGACTTTTCTACTAATCTTGAAATTGAAAGTAGTCTTCATAGTATTGATATTATTTACGACTATGACTGTATAGTACATAGGCCCCAGTAGTTTTCCGTTAACAGTGATAGCCGTTAATTTCTCCTCCCTAAGCCAACCTCAACCAAAATAATAAGCTTTGTATAGTTTCAATTTAAACTTGAAAAAAAACATGTTTCAGTAAGGTTATGTACGTTAGGCATGACCATGAAAGAATTTTACTGTGAATATAAAGTTGTCCAGAGCTAACAATTTTTGAATTGTGAATATTTAGATCAATGCTTGATATTTTTCTTAATCTTAAGATTATTTAATTTAATTGTGAGTTTGTTTTATGGAAAGTTTTTAAAATCAAACCAATTAGAGTGGTGTAAACAGAATCCTGAATAGCCAATCAGAAGCCGGGAAATAAAATATTTTTTGCGACATTTAATGAGAGAACTTATTATTGGTCAGAATCCAGTAGGGATATCCAGAAATAGAGAAAAAGAGCGGATTTAGCAGAAATCAAAAGTGTCCACAATGTATATTTAGATTAATCAATCGGTATTGAGGGTTTCCAATTCTATAGTTTTTAGCTCTGGGCTAACAGTACCTCTATGTGATTATTAGACCCGGCACGACCAACTAAGTCCACCTAGTTAAGTCTGGTGAATGAAAATTTTCCGAAATAACTTAAATCTTCAAAAAAAGAGAATATTCTAGAATAATCTAGACAAAATAAACGAGCTTAGAAACTTTTTTTGCCTTTACCTAAACTATAATCATTTTAACTTAACACAAATTAAAGTTGAAAGTTGTCCTTGAAATGACTTTTCAGTTTCTATTATTTTAAACGCTAGAAATGTGCATACATTCTTCATACAGTGGGGTTTATAAAACTGTGGAACAGGAAGACGACTGTTCGGCTCAAATTATAAATAGTCTGACAAATATGAAACCCAGAAGTTGTGCAGTGTACTCAGACCGAGCTTACTTAACAAGTTAATTTTAAAACTGTTTGCTTTATAACAACGTCAAATACACAAAAGATTGCATAACTGTTATGTTTGCTTTATAACAACGTCAAATACACAAAAGATTGCATAACTGTTATGTTCCTATTTCACAGTTTTCACGTAGACAAAAATAGATATTTTGGAAAATACATTAAATTAAATTGGTTAGAATAGGACGGGCACAAACAGCGTTTAATCTTGCTGTGGAGGCAATTGAGTGGAGTGGGTTAAGGAAGGATATGCGAAGTGATCTAACAGTTAACCTTCAGGTACACTCAGAGGCTTATTTAGGGCTCAGCCCCCCCCCTTGGATAAGTGAAATCTATAATTTCCAGGGGGTTTGGGGCCTCCCTAGACAGAGAAAAAATTTAAGACCCCTCTTTACAATTTCCTTGTACGTACGCTAACAAATCATTTCAATATCAACACATTTCAGAACAATGTCGCAAACCTCATTTCAATTCTGAACTGAGAACAAATTCATTTTAGCTTATTCTACATTATATCAACAAACTTGTTTAGTTGGTTTAAAGGGACTAAAAGCGTAATTTCAAGTAACTCTCCACTCCATGCAACAATGCAACACCTTTAACATTATTGATCTGATAAAGGTTTTTTGTGCATTGCCAAATGCGTATGAAGGGTACTTACGCAAAAACTTGCTTTACCAGTGTTTTAAGTTAATGAATATTTTAAGAGATGGTTTAAAAAGTTGAGATGCAAAAATCGGCAGTTTTTGCTTGGCTATAAAATTTAGGCGGAGAAACATTAACCAGTCTCACATAGGTTAAAATTGGTTTATTAAATATAATTCATTCCCAGCTGCTGGTTTGTTCCAAACTTTTTGTTAACGTTGTGCTTTCAGGAGGCGTTTATAAACCTTGCTAAACAAGCTGAGGAGGACGGGTTCGTTTTCGAGAATGAACCTGATCTTGCACTTAGGGTTAGTATCTTAATAATACAGTCGTCGGCGTTTATATCAATATAATGAAGACTAATTTTCTATTTATGTTTTTATTGTTAAAAAGCTTTTTCTTAAATGCAAGTTTACAAGTAAACAAAGAGAAGCTGTTAATTGACAGCTTTTCTTTGTTACCATGTTTGTGTGCATCCATGCTCTTAAAAATCAAAAATCAAAATTGAATTCAAAATAGTCTTCATTGTATTGATATAAACGAATATGGTTTCTTGTGGAACGGATTATACTGGTTGCTTAAAAATAATTGAAATTTAATGACGACCTTTTCTTTAATTCAAAGGAAAAGCTTAACAATTAGCTTAAACTATAATTCTATAATCCTTACTTCTTTGCAACCTGATGTTGTAGACCTTAGATATTTCCAAAAATGAATTCTGTTAGATCAAATAGTTAAAGTTATACAACATCAGGTTGAAAATCGATAAATGGATTATAGAATTAGATTTAGAGGAAAATGTTTGCAACTTTTGACATTTGCGACAATTTTATGAATTATACATATGACGTGTTGTCATATATGAAATTAAGGTTTAGTTCCTTTGTTCTTATTTAATGCAAATTTGTCAATAAATGAACTAGTTGCAAAATTATAAAATTAATTTTCTGTTTATTCCAATTTGCGATTGAAGTGTACAGATAAATGCAATCCATTGAAAAACAGTGCATTCAAAAACTCGCAGAAATCCAGAATTAAATTCTCATTTTAAATTTTAAATTCAGGAGCGAGAATTTGGTTTGGTTCCGGAGAAATTCCAACTTCAAGATCCTCATCCCCTGCTCCCCGCGGCATCTTGCGCCATTAAAATTAGATACGATGCCGGAGTCGGCCGCCATGTTGTCGCCACGAGGGATATTTCACCCGGAGAGGTCATCTTTGTTGAAAGACCGATTGTTTCGACAATTTGTGATGAACATTATGAAAACATTTGCATAGGAAAGATTTAAAACATTTCTTTTATATTCTTTGTCAATCCTAGAAGCTGCAGTGTGAGTATATATTGCGGACATTTTAAGAATTTACCATTCAGTGGAAGAGATCGTTTTAGCATAATCCATTAGTTCAAACTGGGAACATTTATTAAACTCAGCTATTCATCATTCAGAGGATTTAATAAGTTTAAATTGTTATATTTTAATACAATTTTCAATTTGTCTAAAAGCGGATAGAGCTCAAGATAAGACGGAAATTTTAAGAAAAGAAATATTTGAAATGTTGAAAAGTTTGTCTCCGATACACAACTGCTCCTATTCCTTGTCCAACTTGCAGCGAAGCCACATTTTGCACTTCAAGGAAATAAAACAAAAGTATTAAAATTATGTTTATGAATTTATTATTTTATACAAGGATATTTTTCTTACATTAATCAACTACTGTAAACCGTCTATTCGTATTTGTTTCTTAAACAAATCCAACAAAATCTGCAATTAAAAAGTCTCAGGGTTTCCTAGGTTGGTAAATTGGTGTGCTATGTTTGTGCAGTCATTATTGAATCAAAAAGCAGAATGATTGTAATCTTCGTTCTCTCTTTTATATTAGGAATTCTGCTACTGTGCACAACTCACGAGATATATTAGTGCAAATTACAAAATCCAATTTATTAAAAACTAACCGCAGTGCCTGACGTTGCCCGGGACAATACAATTTTTTTTAAGCATACGTTACCCCCATCAGGGTATATACCCATGGGTTTCCTAAAAAAGTGATAGCCAATTTGTCCAGTGGTTTGGCCAGCTATAGCTATTTATATATATACATATATATATATATATATATATGAGCGAAGAGTTTTATTATATAGTAATAGCATGAGAAAAATTACGATTGTTGTTATTGATACAGTTGCCAACAGGAAGCGTTAAAATCATTCCACAAATATGAATGTCGTCTTACGCATGTTTTCCAGCAAACAGGTAAACATGACCCATCAAGGATGAGACTTTAGGAACAACTGTGCAGTACAGATTTCGTTTCCAATTCGTTGCATAGACTAATCAAAAATTATATTCAAAGATTAAACTTGTAAATCAAATTGTAAATAATATTTCATGAATTTTGGGTCGTCATTATAGTCTTATCCTAAATGAGTAACCCTGTACTTTCAAATCAATTTATTGTTGTTTCAATTTCTGATTACACCTTTACTGTTAAAATTTCAAAAATGATCTTAATTTGTTTCACTATGCTTTAATTTCATCTAATTCACAATCTATTTCAGGGATTAACAACCTTCCTCTCCTGCTCCTCGCATTCCGGTCAATTGCGCAGAAACCTAAAGAGTACTTCGTGGAAAACCAAGGGATACATTATGTTTATACTTTTTCATATCTTTTCTCAATTCAAAATTTAATATAATTGATGCTTCATTCAACGTAAACTTGGCACAAAAGAATAATGTTTTTTTTTATACATTTATGCCAATTGAAAATAAGAAATGATTTTCAGTATAAACGTGAAATGAATCGACTCATTTAAGAATGTGGTTGTTTATGAAAAATAAAGGAATTAAGTCTTTGTGACAAACTAAAATTTTCGAATTCCTATATCTTTGCAAGCTAGCATTGATATTGAAACTTTTTTTATCAAACATAAATCATATTTAAATTATCTAAGCTATGGTCTCTGCCATTGGGTTGCAAAGATAATGGGATTTAAAAATCTGAATTTGTGGCAACGACTCAATCAATTTGCCATTGGAATCTTACTAAGAATTTGATATTAGCAGTTATTAGAAAATAGTGTTCTCTCTGCAGTCTGAAATAGAGTTCCAGGAAAATATAATTTTTGGGGTCCGTAGAGTGCAGTTACAGGGACTGTTGGGGTCCGTAGAGTGCAGTTACAGGGACTGTAAGCGTATTTTAAAGTAATCCTTCATGCAAAGATGGCAATTATCGATTTACACGGTACCTTAATCTGATTAAAATGATTTATGTTTCTATATATATATGCAGTACACGATCTATACTACATAAAGGACGTTGCATTACATTCCTAGAAAATAAAGAAAAAGTTCAGCTGTAACACAGTAGGGTCGTTTAACGGTTCATCGTGAGCGTACTGTCAAATGACCCTGCTGCCTTAGCACTGACATTTTGATTCCTTCAATAGGCATGTTACGCAACATACTTCATGAAGTATAGCGTGTATTGCATACAAACTTCCTCATAGAAAAATAAATCATCCTGCGAGGAAGCTGAACCGCATTTTTATATCAAAGATCTTGACAAAGAATTTTACTTTGTTTTATAAAAAAATGTTTCAATATCAATTTTTATTAAATGTACTCGTCCTTGTCTGTTGTAAAAATGTAGATAATGTACAGAAATAAACTTGTCCTTGTCTGTTGTAAAAATGTAGATAATGTACAGAAATAAGCTCGTCCTTGTCTGTTGTAAAAATGTAGATAATGTACAGAAGTAAACTCGTCCTTGTCTGTTGTAAAAATGTAGATAATGTACAGAAGTAAACTCGTCCTTGTCTGTTGTAAAAATGTAGATAATGTACAGAAATAAACTCGTCCTTGTCTGTTGTAAAAATGTAGATAATGTACAGAAATAAGCTCGTCCTTGTCTGTTGTAAAAATGTAGATAATGTACAGAAATAAACTTGTCCTTGTCTGTTGTAAAAAAGTAGATAATGTACAGAAATAAACTTGTCCTTGTCTGTTGTAAAAATGTAGATAATGTACAGAAGTAAACTTGTCCTTGTCTGTTGTAAAAATGTAGATAATGTACAGAAATAAACTTGTCCTTGTCTGTTGTAAAAAAGTAGATAATGTACAGAAAAGTTTACCGTATCTCATCCAAAGTTCGGAGTAGAAGAGGAGTATTTAAGTGAGGTAAATTACGTTTATTACAAAATCAGTGCGCTTTACACCCTCCACTTCAACGAAATTAATTAAGTCTTTGCAATTAAAACTCAAATTTTTTATATTACAGTGATAACCAGAAAACTCTGGAATAGTAAGGCGACTCACTGAATCAAGTTTTAACTTTAAAAAGTTCAATAATCATGAAACACAGCAATTGTGCAGTGTAAACAGAAAAAGTGATTTTAAAAGTGTCTGGTAAAACAATTTGCTTTGTAACACCATCAAATACACTTAAATAGTTGCTAAAATCGTTCATCGTTGATATTTCAAACTATGAAAAATGTTAGATTAAATAATCTAAGTTTGAAATACCAAAGGTATACAATCAGGTTGAAACTATATCGGGTTTAGAAAACTGGAGTTTGTGGTAAAAATCTTTATTTGGTTTGTGCGACATTTTGATGTTAAAAATTTAGGTATCCAATGATAAACCCTTGGGCTACGCTCTGTCATTGAATCCCTCGGGGGTTTTAAATTTCCATTGATTCTAATTTGTTTAAGAGTAAATTATACAATTTTTTTGAGTGATTTCGATTTACCATGGACACCCTAGTTTTTGTGAACAAACGAAATTTTTGAGACCGAACTGATTTTTTTATATAAACGATTGTATCGTTTAGAAAAGAAAACGAACGATGGTCGAACGACTTGATTCGTTCAGAGAAATGAAAAAAACTATAGTTTTTTAAAAACAAACGATTTAAAATTGTTCGAACGAACTTGAAAAATCGATATTTTTTTTTACTGTAGGGACGAATTTTCCAAAAGATTAAATATACTATCTTTTTTTAATGAACGAACGGTTTTTGTCAAACGTACTTTTGAAAAAACGATCGAACAAAATTATTTTTTAACGATAAAAAAGACTAACGAAATGGGTCGTTTACGAATGATGAACGAACGAAATGAAAAAAATTCTGAACCCACCATTCTCTAGCTGGAAAACTAAAAAAATTCGAGAGAAATTCTTTTTAGATAAATGAAATCTCCCTGAGAACCTTTTATTCTTATTTTGTTTTAGCATTTGTTGAAGTACAGAATGGCAAATAAAATGTTTTATAATTTTTCTGTCAATTTTTGATATGTTGTCTTCCCTAAAACATTTAAAACAATGCTGTATTTGTAAACCAAAATAACGAAATGTAGTTTAAATAATTGAAATAGATTTTGAATGTTTCAAAAATGGTTCAAAATATGGCAAAAAAAATAATAATTTTGGAATTTTAATATTAAGATATTTGAAAGCAAAAAAGTCTCGTCTTTTTTAATGAAATTTTCCAAAAGAGAGAATGGAGATATCTAATTGTTTGGTTATTTAAGGATTAAACTGAGCAAACTAATATTGTTTTATATACTCCTGTCATTAGAATTCTGCTATTAAACATATTTTGCTTTAATTAATTTAAATGTTAATTAATTGATTGAAGAATTAATTAATTATATAAAGATTATTTTAGGATTATGCCACATTGTTCAACCTGTGTACACATGGAGGTAGGAAATATAAATAAACAATTGCATAAAACTCTGAATTTCTCAACCATATATCTTTGCAGCTTGAAGTCGTAAACCTTGGATATTATAGATCCAACACAATTTAGTTTGAGCTATCAAAAGTCTACGACGCTAGGTTGCAAAGATGTAAGATTTAGAAAATTAGATTTTGTTTATTTTTTTGCTTTAGATTCATCTTATTCCGTCCTAACATGACTTTACACAAATTTGTTAAAATTGCCATTTTGAACAAGTTTGGTTGTCCTGGAAACTGGAATTAAAAAAAATATCAAAAACATCATGTATATTTATTACAGAATTTATTCATCATTTTTGTTGTGAAAATAAGTATTTAATGCATAATTTATACATTATTTTTTGTGGTAAAAATCAAATCCGAAGAAAAAAAATGACTGCCTAATTTAACGTTTCTAGATTGAAATATGTATTTTCCATCATAACTTCTCTTTTTCAAGAGTTATTGACCAGAACAAAATTTGCAAATAAAATAATTTTTCTTATATATGGGCCATCAAATCAAATAGTGGAACAAGCAGGTCACAGAGTCGTTTCAGCACTCACATTTTACTCTTTCCTTAATATATAGAAATATAAGATTGTGGAGTAGTCCAGATTTTTTCTTTGTTAAAATGAATATTTTCAGATAGAAGAGAGGAGTATGATACATTTACAAAAACAATATTTGCATGTTTTCTACTCCGCTGCCTTCAGGGACAATATATATTGGTCAACTCATTTTAATCTTTTTTTCAATTTTGATGGAATTTATAACACCTAATATTTCCCGTTGTAGGGTGATTAAGTGACTTTATCACCCTACAACAAATAAATTTAGATTAGATTACAAATTTCAAGTTTCAAAACCATTCAGAAGTTTACAAAAAGTAATTCGGTTAGGAATGATTTAAATATGAGTCTTTTTAATCATTAACATTTTACAACTACGTTAGAGAGAAGTGAAGATAAGTTTCAGCTTTGAGTCCGAAAAAGTAGTTCAGACAATTTTAACGCATTTTGGAATTCTAACCTAAAACCTAAATAATACAATATTAAGAACTCAAGAACATAATTTTACCTTATTTTATTTCTAGGCCATTCCCCATCCTCACCCTTAATCTCCAGGATTAATGTCTGCCCCGGGTATAAACCTGACTCTTTGAAAATAAAATTACTAACAAAAAAATAACAATAAATTACAAAAATTTCTCTAAATTAAAATAAAAGCGGCTGAACCGATCCGGCCCAAATTTTGTGTGGGACCTCACGTGAGTGTGACCCAAGGAAAGGTTTTTGAATGATCAAAATTTTAAAATTTTTGTTTAAAAAATATTATATAATCCGCAAACGTTTTTCTGTTTTTGTTTTATTCAAAGAAAAGATAAATAAAGCCACAATTAAAAGTTGAAATAGAAGATGGGCGCGAAGCGCCCTAAAAGCCTAGTTATAATAAATCACACTTAATTACAACGAGTACAATAAAATACAATAAAATAAAAATGTATATTGCATAATCTCAAGTACAGAAATAATATATTATCATTCAATTTCTAAATCAATATCCGTTTTTTAGCCATAAAAGTTAATTATCCATTAAATTAAATTTATGAGTCTGACAAAACTTGTCAATATAAAGATAGCTAAGTTTAATATTGAATATGCAGTAAAGGTCCGTTCACCGATATTTAGGATATCTGAAATGTTTTTTCTTAGAAAAGTGTATTCAATATTACACTTGGTCGTGGTTTCTACATCCTTTTTAAAACTCCCATTTTAGCGAGAAAAAAAAATCCTAAAAAGATGGGGCGAGAGAGGGGGGCCATTTTTCAACCAAATATACACCCCTGGCTGTACCTGATATGTAGATGATAATCCTTCTATAAGTTCATAACATGAAGTGTATTTACTTCAGACTCTGCACTTTGCTGTTTCTGGTATATTGAACTCTCGTCTCATTTCATTCATGATGTATGCTAATCAAAATTTTGGATAAAATTTATAAATTAAATTTTTGATTTATTTCTTGTTTTACAATGAATCCAAGGTGAAAATGTTCTGTCAAATAGAATATAGCCTAGTTTCATCAATCAAAGAAAACATATGAAATATCAAAATCAATTCAAACGTTTAAATTCCTTATTATTCCATTCCATAAACTTTGATTTGATATTGTATCGAAATAAATTCAAACTATTTAATTCCTCAAATTCCATTCCATAGACTAAACTAAATATTTTCGAAGATACGTCGCTATCGATATAAACTTTTTTTTAAAAAGAAGTTAAAATTAGGACATTTTCTTTTATATTTGCATGTTTTCTAGAAAATTATGGCACTTTTTCGTCATGTTGGCAGATTTCATGCACAGGATACTGGATCTGAGTGAATATTGAACGATAAATTATAACTAATTAAACCCCTAACCTATGGTGTCCGCTTTGCTAAACTTCATTTTGATTTTATTCTCTGGATCTGAGTTCAGAGCTAGACAAAGCTCGGTTAGATATACCTCGACCCTGCAGTGCTTCACAAACAAACCATACTCCCTAAACATCAAAACCATTGATATAAAAATATTTTTTATTTTAAAAAATAGGGGTATACATTTTCTTGAATAGTCAACAGTAATTTTCCTCGGATATTTAAGCTTAAATCATTGAATTTGGGAAAATGAAGAAATCTTTAGGTAAAGATTCTCATAATTATAGCATCTGTGAGAATGTGGGGACGACAAAATTTTAAAAATATTATTAAATAATAAGAAGGGAAGTGGGGAGGGGTTAAAGGGGTGAATAAAGTTCTCACGGTCTGAGTTATCATGAAAAAGCAAATTGTAAGGGGTGGGAGTGTTTATACCTGACTGTTCTTGGTAAAGGTTCCTGTCCCTCTACTAAACCAAACTGTTCCTGCATCGGGTTCCATATATCAGCAGGAACCATGCAATAATTCATTTCTTCTATCATGTGCTTTTTTAATTCACTGGGAGCTAATGGGTCCATAAGGTCACTATTATCTATTGGTCCAGGATGGGCCTCCTCTGTTCCTGCCTCTGATACAGACCCGGCCCCCAAACCAGACCGTTCCTCGAAACCAAGATATTTCCGACATTGTTTGAACCACCGACAGTCGACTAAATACCTGGAACAAATATATTATATAAAACTAATCACTCTAATGATTTAATAAGTGGGTCTGTGCTAGTGAACGATTTATTGACCCCGGCCCCCCTCCTATCAATTTTGTACATGACAATTTCCAACAATTTTCAACAAAATTAGCATAGATTTCGGGTTAGGTTAGGTTAGGTTAGGTTAAGACACTTTCTGGGCCGAGCGCTGCGGCCACATGACCAGCTTTTTGTATGTGTTAAATATAAGATGCATGTACAAATTTTATAGGAGTGGGGGTCCAGGGGGGGTTCAGAAATCGTTCTCTAAGAAATTACTTAATAAGTATTATCAATGTTTTTTTAATGTTTTAAACACTAATGTTTTTTGATAGAGGTATATTTCGCACATTTAAAGATTCTTGGGAGCTTACAATTTGCATTATTGAACCGTAGCCCAGTAAGTATTCATTTAGAGCATAGTAAGGGTCTGTCCTAGAGAACACCTTTTAGACCCCCCCCCCCCCC